TTGGTGCAAGTTACTTGTAACAGATCGGATTTATGGGTCACAAATAGTACAATTTCCTGTTACTTGGTGTCGGTCGATGTGACCTAATTGTTTCAGCTGGAGGCTGAAATGAGAGTGTGACCGGGTGACAGCACAGGAGAACAATTGAGAGAGTGACATAGCGTTGTCACCCTATAACAGGAAGTGCCTGAGACAGGACAGAACAGTGTCACCCTATAACAGGAAGTGCGTACATGAGGATAGAGCACTGTCACCCTATAACAGGAAGTGCGTGAATGAGGACAGAACATTGTCACCCTATAACAGGAAGTGCGTGAATGAGGACAGAACATTGTCACCCTATAACAGGAAGTGTGTGAATGAGGACAGAACATTGTCACCCTATAACAGGAAGTGCGTGAATGAGGACAGAACATTGTCACCCTATAACAGGAAGTGCGTGAATGAGGACAGAACATTGTCACCCTATAACAGGAAGTGTGTGAATGAGGACAGAGCATTGTCACCCTATAACAGGAAGTGCGTGAACGAGGACAGAGCATTTTCACCCTATAACATGAGGTGTGAACGAGGACAGAGCGTTGTCACCCTATAACAGGAAGTGCCTGAACAAGGACATAGCATTGTCACCCTAGAACAGGAAGTGCGTGAATGAGGACAGAGCATTTTCACCCTATAACATGAGGTGTGAATGAGGACAGAGCATTGTCACCCTAGAACAGGAAGTGCCTGAGCCAGGACCTCCATGGCGGGATCCCCGGGGGGCCGCAGACTTTGGATACAACATATGAGATTTGAATGCAGACGTGTTGCGTGTTGTCCATTAGAATGTATGAATAAGCGTCAGTCTACCTGTTATCGCCGCTCTGAATATTTTTTTGGCACCTTTTTTTTATCTTGCAGAGAAATATAAACAGCTGACGGATCACATCGAGCAAATGGCGGCGGAGTAGCGCAGGGGGAGGAGCCGGCGCCCCCGACACACATCTCAGTATTTTACCAAGAGGGAATGGCTGACGATCTGCATGCCGCCGTCCTATCGCTGCCCTTCTCCGGAGACTGCCATCTTTGTCTGTGAGGACAGGGGGCAGGGCAAAACACAGGTGGGAGGGGTTGTAAAAAATAATTACCCTCTACAGCCCCTCCCCCAAGTGGTGGTGGGACTACAGATCTCAGCATC